CATCCCCCAACCACCTCCCCACACCCCCATCCCCCAATCACTTTTAAATTAACACAGTATTATAAAACGTGGGGTTGGGTCTCTGGTTTTCTGGATAAACAGTGGGACAATGGTTTTATTCTATTATTGATGTTTTTTACCCCCTCTCTTTCAGATGAGAAACCCTTGGCTCACCCACACCATTGGGATCCTCATGCTCCGCTCTGGCCCAGTTCACCCCAAGGTGCCAACCTGTCTGCTGTCCCCCTCAGGGCTCCAGGTGCATCCATCCGCGGGCCTCAGTACCATATAGACAGCCCCTCAAACCTGTGCCCTGAGCCTCACCAACCATGGCTCCTACCCAGAGTGAGTAGTCATGGCCGGGAGGACTCTATCTTCTGCCAGCCAATGCCTGATCTCCATCGAATGATGCCAGCTGCAATCAACAGCTATCATGATAACTCCTTCCTGGCTTCCCTGAGAGGGGAGAGCCTGCCTTCCGAAAACAGCCAGCGACACACTGCCCCAAAAACAAACCTGAACTTGGCTTGGACACAGCCTGCTCCTGGACCTGCAGAAATGAGGCAGAGTGAGAACGTCGATGTAGGTATGTCTGCAAACTCACTGAGAATCTAACAGAGGCAGTACATTCCAGCCCCGTTGGCTCCAACGCCCCAGTCTGATTGTTTAGAAATGGTGAAAGGTAATTAACACTCAGAGTGAAACAACACCAACCAATATCGCTGAAATGAGAATTGATTGATGTGATCACCTGAGTCTTTTCCAACTGTCGCAGCACTCTCTCTGTGGGGTTCAGTCCCATTCACCCACTCCAACTCTTTATTGAAATCTCCCTGGTCAGCTGCAGGACCCCCGAGCGATTTCTTGAGAAGTTACTGATGCTTAATAATTGATTCACCATGACCAGTGACACGGGTTTAACTCCCGAGTCTGATCAGGTCCTTGAGTTGGTGATGGTGAGACATCATTTTGAGAACAGTTCCTCATGGTCCATTTCAGATCCAGCCATCTCCCTGTGGTCCAGACAGGGCAAGGATGGAGACTTCTTTCCTGAATTCGTGAAGTACACACTTTCTCAGGACAATTCTCCGCTTTCACAGTCATCATTTTCATTCCTGATTTCTTTAATTAACTGAATTTGACTTTTCTTACCTGAACTGCTGCAATCCCTCCTCAGGTGTGACTGAGCTTCTGTGCGGATCTCGGCTGATCCACTAACACAGGGTCCCAAGGATGGTTCCGTCGGTGTTTCAGACACCTGTCAGAAATGCAGCTCAAGGTGCACCCTGGAGAATGTACCGATGGGTTGGCCAGAGCGCGATCAACACTTGTGCAAACCATTGTCCAATAAAACATTTCGCCGACACAGTTGCTTCAAATCAAAGCTGAATAAAATTCAAAATGAACTCTGGACATCGGAATTTCAGCGTTCCCTCAGTAGTGAACTTCCAACAGTGCGCACTCCCTCAGCACTGACCCTCCAACAGTGCGCACTCCCTCAGCACTGACCCTCCAACAGTGCGCACTCCCTCAGCACTGACCCTCCAACAGTGCGCACTCCCTCAG